AGTACACTTAACATTTCAAGTTGGTCTACTAATAACCGAACTATATGAGAAGTTAAAAGTAAATTTTGTAGCGAATATTGTTTATTTTGCATATTTTGTGTGAAACACTCTATGACAATATCATCTAGTTAAATAATGTCAAAGCAGGACTTATCAAGTAGCTAAATGTGTTGATAAATGCAAACTGCTCATGAAGTCCTGAAATCTGCAAATGTAGCCTAACTACGAAAGCAATTTTGTGTTCTAATCTCTCAGTAAACATTTGGTGATCCAGCTATTGCAAAGCATAAATCATTTAGAACTACCCTTTCCCCAGATTTAGCATTAAAATCAGGTTTTGACGTCTGTCACTGCGTTAAATGAGACTTGATTCGGTTCGTGTTTATTGGGTACTGGACTGTGTCACCGTGTTAATCGGGCTTTGAAATGTGGCACTGTGTTTTTGCACCTGTTGTGGAGCTTGAGTTTATCAGTGTGCTTTGCACTTCTTCACAGTTATGTTCCGTTGTTGCTTATAAATCCTTAGAATACGTCACATCAAAAGCATTTCAGTACTTCATCCATTTCAAACCAAACAATTCGAGGATCTTTTCTTTCTGTGTATTTTTTATACTTTGTTGCTTTTCATCTGAAATATTTTTATTTCCCGTTTTTTTTGTTTTAAAGGTCTTTAATTTTTTTAGTTTTTAATTTTAAGGTACCGTGGTTTATCATGAATTAGAACAAATTTGAAGTTAAGTGTTTATAGTGGAGTGGCACAATGGCGCAATGGTTAGAATTGGTGTGCTGAGGTCACACCTGAAGAAGGCTCCACAGCCGAAACGTTGCTTAGCCGAAAATATGTTTTTTTAATTTTTTAAAAGACCATCCTTTTGACTCCACCCACATTTATTTATACCACTCTTTGATTTTGCCCACGCACATTTAACCGTGACCAATATTCACATTTCTTCATTTATAATAAAATATCGACCCATCTGGACATGACTCATCACCAGAAAGAAGAGGCAGTTTACCAGCCCTAGCCCCCCTGTGTGCAATTAGCAAAACCATTTCAATAAATCCAACACTTTGAAAATTAGCCAGCCTGATTTAATTTGCTCATATTTTTTCCCCTCTTTTAATTATTCAAAAGGTCACAGTAGAAAAATTGGTGTGCAAAATCTCCAATTATCCTTCACACCTCTGGATCATCGCTATTTAATTAGATTTATTACCTTGATTAATAGAGTTCCATTCTTTCTACACGGATCACGTATCTGAGTACACTCTCTCAGCCTCAGCACTCATGGAATTGAGGAGAAAAAACGAAAGGCAACTTGATTAAAAGCGAACAAAATAATAACATAATTTTCTAATTAGTGCAAAAATATCCTCTGAGCTATGTTTTATTTATGCTGTATAATAGTGTTAAATTAGTTTGTTAAAGGCAACAGTTTTCTATAATTGCTTAGAATGACTCCTGGTCTCAGAGTTTTGTTGTGCGCAGACAGGAAAAGTGAACTAAATCTCTCCAGTTCAGAACAAACAAGACTTCAAGTAGATTTGATTTAACAGTATTAGACACTAGGGGTATACATAGAGGTAATGCTGGGACTATTTAACCCTTGGTAACAAAACAGGACACAGGGTCATAACCGGAGACTTACAGGACTTACAGTTAATCTAGGATGGTGAATAGGAAACATCTTTCACACAAAGTGTCAATGGGTATCTGGAGCAGACTGCCCAGCCAGTAGGCTGAGGATCAAACTCTGGATACTTCAAGAAATGGTTGGCTGAAATATTGCCACTGAATAAACAAACGAGCAAAATGGCCTGAGTAGCCACTTCATTCATTTCTTACGTTTTCTTAGGTTTTTATATCCTCTTCTAAAACACAAATGTCATGAAAATCACGGTTTACCTTTTTAAACATTTCCTTTCTTTTCTCACCTATAGAGTAAGTTTATAAAGTCATCTTGTGTGTCTAATAAGAGTACTATTTAGAACTCCAATGTAAAAATGCCTACATACTTTTCCTAGAGAGGATTGTGATATAATTTTATTAGAACTTCAATTCAGTCTCTCTGGTTCGGTGTTCCATTATAACATCGCATTATTCCACAGATTTTGTGAATCAGTGCTGAGGCTGTAGGAGGAGTCTCCTCAGGAAGAGTTCAGTTGCAGGTCATACTGTATGTTGCCTTTATTGTTTGTTGCCTTTAGACTATACTCTGGAGAAAGTTAGACAGTCCAGCTCTGCGCAATTCAAATCAGATAAGTTGGATTTTCTGACTAAAAGGCATGTCAATGATATTAAACTAAATAGAATCTTTCACTGAAGAGCCATCTGTTTTATTATGTTTAGAAATTATCTTTGAATTTAACCAAAGTCCTTATGTAACATGAAACACTAACCAATTTCAAGTTTCTTGTTTCTCCTAATATTAATGTGACATAATCAGAAAGAGTACTCCTGTTGTAAGAGCTAAATATTTAACAAGCCCTAAAACATTAATGTAGGATATCTATGGGAAGCAATATGGAGAAATATTTTGTATCCCCAAAGAATAAGAAATAATTTATAAACACAAGTCTCAGACAGAGAAATAAAAAGAATTAAAAAAAATACTTTCAGCATCGACTGATACTTCCTGTACAATCATGGCTCTTTAAAAGTGGTGAATTTTTGTGATTTTGCGTATTTGACCTTTGCCTTTTTAATCTCAAAGAATCTGGACATCAGATATGAGTTCTCACAAAGTGCCTCAATAAAAAGTCTTCAGAATACATCAGTGCAGTAGGGGGTCTCCTGGGATACAGAGAGCCTGTCCGTTTGCTCTCTGAAGATAGTAGCCTGTACAAAAAGCATAATGAATAATATGAAACTAATCCTGTTACGGGCTTCTGGTGCCCTTAAAAGTTTAGTGCATTGGTGAGCAATTTGTCGAAAGTGTATCTGTATGACTGACCTTATTTATTTAATATAATCAATTTTTGCCTTATTTTTCCTTCTTCATCTCGCCCACTTTTGGTTTTACACTTCCCACACAATAGGTTAAACCCTATCACAGAGACATTCAAAGCTTTCAGCTGCAGTACGAAATGGACTCCGTATGGAGAAAAGAAAGACCGAAGTAACTCTACGTCACATTTTAGTGGATAAGCTTCTTTGCACACAGTTTATTTTCCAGCGGGTACCTGCTGAAAATAGCATGAAAAAGGGAAGTCTGCAGCACCTGAAGTGGGCTTTAGAGTCTATTTGTGAAACCTACTGTCTGTGAATTCAAAACATGCTGTATGTAACCATGACAATCGGGAGAAAAAGCTGAATTATGTAGTGTTCCACATCCCTGTTATTGGAGTGTCCTATGAAACTTTCCCTCTTGCCCTTAACCAGGCTCACTTCTTCCTCTTCCTCGCCCTCCACAAGAAGCTTCTGTTCTCCTGTTTGGTCTGTGTAGCGGTCCCTCCGACTCCGTGCAGCACTTTCCTTCTCCATGACTCGCACGCCCCTCTGGAAGCAACATGGCAACGAACCTGCATGGGCCTGAAACAGGAGCTCACCACAATTACGTCTTGCGGATCTGTGACGTGTGGAAGCAGATCATAAATGACTTTGAAAATGACCACATGATCTTTGTTTTTCAGTTTACCTGTCCATCAGTAATGAATGTATCTCTGCTCCCC